GGGGGGGGGGGGGGGGGGTGGGGGTGGGGCAAAGAAAAGACGATTTTGACTTTCGAGGACGAACCACGGGTGATTACTAATAATTCGAGGAAGTTTGCATAATCGTGACGTGGGTGCATCGAAATGGGTCAACGCTATCCAAAGTCTGTATTACACGAGAGCGAGAAAGGCGGAAGGGGAGTGGAGGGCGTCGCGACGCTGGGAGCATCGCCAACCGCTCGCTAGAATGTCTTGGCCTGTCAATGTGGAGATGCCACGTGACAGCCGACACATTTTCCTAGAGCAAAGCGGCTTACGTTATTAGTGGACGCGCCCCGACGCCTTTCCTGGCGTGAAGCTGGGTTCACCGGGTCCCAACGAGCCAAGGCGTAAAGTTCCACGGGACGAATGGAACGTACGACCCGAAGTTTCGCGCAACGGACTATATATACATATAAATCATACGATATATATTTATGACCACTGGTTATAGTGACACCTTGCGTAAGCGCTCTTTCTTTATCTATCTCTATATATAGCTGCATTGTCTACAAGTCAATAATGAGAATCCGATAGTAACGTAGAAAAGTTTGAAAATAAAAACCGTCGCTAATAACAATAGCATGACTCGTCCATTCATCGAACGGCCGCGCACGGCTAATAAAAATGATGAATTTCAATGAGCATTCGATACATTGTCGCGGAGTCCAACAAGACAGTTCCCGTAGTCTGGCAAGAAGTTTTCGCTATCGCTTAGCTTGCGTCCAGGCGTTATGCAACTGGGTCATACGCGAACGGAGCGAGTCTCTCGTAAGACACGTACGAAGTAGAGCGAAAGTGACGCATTGACAATAAAAAAAATGACTCCGATAACTCAGAGACTCCGAATCCCCCGGTGATTCGTCGGTCCGTGAAATTTCCAGTGATTCCGCGTAAAAAGATCACCGAATACACCATTAACGTCGCGAAGATACAGAGCCTAAAAGTTCACGATACGAATTGCCTTAATATTAACGAATCATTAAAATAAAGGACAATTGACATACCTTGATCTCGTATTTTGTAGAACGGAGCCTCGTTATCGCTGAGTAGAGGTATCTCTCGTATATAGAGTAGACTTAGTCGTGTATAATTTTAGTCGTCGCACAACGCGATTTCACACTCCGTCACGGCGTATCCTTCTCTAGAACGTTATAATAAATATATCTGTCTGCAGGTACTTCGCTATCCTGATTCGTTCGCAGTTATGTAAATTTGTAGGTGCGTTCGAAATTGAAGATGTAACAGGTATCTATAACGGGTGACCCCACGTAAAGCCAGTATTATCGGTCTTTCCGGTATAATAGGTGTGTCTCTCTCACATTTTCGTATACGTGCATAAATCCCACTTTCTCTCTCTCTCTCTGCTGTTTCTCGAGTATCTCTCACCTCTCCTGCACTCTTTTTTCTTCAATATATATTCTCCCTCTCTCTCTCTCACTCTCTCAGCAGACCAGACCGCGCGCGGCTCCTTTTCTATATCAATTACGAACGCGTGTAGCGGGGGTGCGCGCGCACGCGCGCGTAGTATGTCCGCGTGACGTGACGGTACCGCACAAAAATCGATTTATCGTAATCGTATTTATTTATCCTTTAATTAATAACATTAGCGATGCATACGGGGCTAGGCACTATTGCGCTGTGAAAATGGTATGAAGGTACTTGTAGGTACGAGGTATATTTTTTAAGGTAGAAGTGTGTCGATAGGTGGACGAGGCGTCCGCCGGTAATTCTTTTTTTTTTCTCGCTTGCAGAGTCAATCCCCTTTCGAGTTAGAGGTTAGAGGTTATGGTGCACTCTTCTTTTATTTTTCTTTCTCTTTCTCGCGACACGGTCAAAAGGAAGGTCAGAAGCTGTTATCACCTCCTCGAGTTTCCCCACTGAGCCACATCGCCCTCGAGCGTCGAGACGTCCTCTTTCGCCAGGAGTTCGACCTCTACCACCATCTGGAACACAAGGGGTCAAAGGGGAACGTCAATTCACAAGGAAATGGTACTGCGCACTATTGGAAATCCTCGTTGATCGTGACTATTGAAATTACCCCGGGACGCCCTTTGCGAGTCGAACGCAATTTGAGTACAGGCAAACGTAAAATTCATTTTAAAAAAAAAATCAAATTTGACTTTTTTTTCAAATTACATTTTTTTTTTTTTTTTTTTTTTTTTTTTTTTTTCATAAAAAATCTCGAACATCCATGCGACAACCGAATCAAAAACAAACGAATAGTCACGTTAAGCTCCGCGAGTGCGCCGGTTACAGTTACAGCGGTGTCGTCGTATGTTCAAGAAATTCCAGCGCGTCGTTATCTATAATGGATACGGTGCAAAGTGCACGCTGCACTTTCTCTCTCCTTTACGATATCATAAATCCATTCCCCCTCCCGGTGACACCCCTCGATACCGGTACGCATCCCCTCCCCGAATTGCCCCTCGCCACCAAACAGGATCACATTTATTACAGTGGCTCCATTGTAGCGAGCGACAGCTACGACGCTCAATGCTCTATTATGTGAACGCGCCCTATGATCAAAGCGCAAACAACGAACAGGTATACCAGCAGCATACTGTCATATACAGCAAGGGTTTTATCGCGCGATCGAAATATCGACGAAGATAAACAATCGAAGCCGGTGACGGTTAACTACGATAATTTTACTAAAATAATGAAAAATCCTTATACCACGACTTTCGAAAATCTTTAACTTTTCGATTACTCCGAAAACTGCATTTTACTTTCGTCCATTAATTTCGGATGCCCGGGGGACAAAGACGCGACAGTCTCAAGTTCCCCACGAGTGAATCGTCAAAGGGTGAAGCGATATGCGCACCTTTGAGCAACGTCACGCACACGGGACGCCGCTCGTGGCGCATCAGACATATGGGTGCAGTGGCGGCGGATGGCGTCGTATGGCACCCAGAGACATTGGAGGCAGGTAGGAGAGGGGGGAGTGTTCAGCCCAGACCTACGTCAACAGAACCCTAACTGCGCGCAAGAGCGTGCCCTGAAATTCAGTCGCATTTTCTCTCCCCCCCTCCCCCCCCCCCCCCC